TTTTAAAAATTAGCTAAAGGCAACATAAAAACAAGTAAGTATGGCTTCTGGAAGTAAGAAAGGGAGCTTCCCATGGGATTCATAATGAGTTTCTTCCTGTTGCGTGTATCACACAGGCGTTTATGATGCAGCAAGTTGTTTGGGGTTTCAGCCTGTTAACCCCGTCTGCGTCCCATGAGCAGGAGAAGCCATCCCGTGACAGTGTCAAGGGACCTCAGGGTTTCCTCCAGGGTTTTTCATAAGGCGGGTGTTTAAGACAAAATCCCCCAACCCTTTGGTTCTCATCTCCCCTTCTTGGTCCAGTCAGTAACCCCAGAAGGTACAGCGTCTGGCTAACAGCCATGAGAGCTGGGTTGGAAACATGAGAACCTTTCTGTGCTCTGACAAATTTCAGTGCCTGGGCTTTCGGAGTTCTGCAAAGCACAAAGTTAAGCTTCTGAATAATATGTTTACTCTTAGCAACCCAGATTCCATTGCTCTTTCCAGACTGGATTCTAGATACTTAGGGTCCTTCTCCAAATTAAAAAAAAAAAACCTATGAATATGTCTTAAATCTCTATTATGTACCAAGGGCACAGCTAGATCCTTGTCCCACGTGTTAGTGGAACACTAAGCTTAGGTGACCTTGATGAGTCACCCATGAATCAGAAAATTGCAAAATATCATCTCCACTGCATAATATGTCAGCGCAGACTCAGACAGAGTTGGATACATACTCTGTGGTTTCTGGGAAGGCAGAGCTATTTCAAAAACAATTCCAGGAAAGTAAATGAATATGCTTTTCCGTGCATTTGCCAAGTGGGACACAAAATAGACTTAAACATGTAAAAAAATTATTTCTCCAAAACTGCCATGGCAACACGCCCAGCCCCTGGTGACCCCGAAAATACCTATCTGTGAAGTAATAATCCACCTGTGTGTGGAAAATTCCCAGGTGTTTCTCCAGCCTTGAGTCCTTTCTTGAAGCTCAGTTACACTCATTCAAGCACCCTCACTTTTCCCTACAGCTCAAGGGATCTTGCTAAAATTCTCCCCTGCTGGAATCCCCTCCCTAGCTCTCCATCATCTTCAGAATAACGCCTTGGTCATGACACCCCCTGCTCTCAAACCCCTTCCTACCATGGCCTTCAGCCTTTGGACTCAGCTCCTGCCCCTCATCTCCCCCACCCCCTTCTCTTAACGCATAGCCCGTAATACAACGCTCTTTCTCTTGTCTCTGCTTTTGCCACACTATTGCCTCTGCCAAGGATGCTGTTCCCTCCTCTTCCCAGCTTATTCTTATCTACCATGCAAGACTTGGTTCTTTGTATTTTCTAGCTCTTTGTTAAAGACTGCTAGCTTCTCGCTCTGTGCATCATTCTCCCCAGTTCTCTGATCACCTTTACGATCATTACTCTGAACTCTGTCTCAGGTAGACTGTGCATCTCCACATCACTTAGTTATTCTTCTGGGATTTTATCTTGTGTCTTTGTCTGGAACATATTCCCCTGTCTCCTCATTTTGTCTAAATTTCTACTTGTATTTTTATGTATGTGGTAGGTTACATTTCTTGACCTTGGAGAAGTAGCCCTCTGTAGGGGACGTCCTATGCGTCCCAGCAGTGAAACCCCTCTCACCACCCAAGGACCAGGGGGTCCCAGGGTTGGGTCTGTCCTGCATTTGTGGGCTCTGTTCCTCAGGCTGCAGGACTGTGGTTTTCTTGCTTTGGTGTCTGCCCCCTAGTGGGTGAGGCTGCACTAGCGGCTGGTGCAGGCTTCCTGGTGGGAGGGGCCATGTCCGGAGGCAGCTGTGGACTCAGGAGGCTTTAGGCCCCCTGTCTGCTGACGGGTGGGGAATCTATCCACACCTAGTTAGTTATTTGGCCTGAGGCATCCCAGCACTGGAGCCTCCAGGCTGTTGGGTGGGGCCAGGCCTTGGTGCTAATGACCCACGTAAGATGTCAGCCCCCAGGAAGAAGAGTTCATGCAGATGAATACTCCCCCTATGTGTGCACCACCGTGTCTGTGTCCTCAGGGTGAGCCGCAGCCACCCCAGCCTCCCCAGGAGACCCTCCAAGACCAGCAGGTAGGTCTG